TGTCGTCCACCACCACCACAAGCTGGAGGGGGGAGGAGGTGGAGGATGATAGGAGGAGGAGGAGGAGGAGGAGGAGGAGGAGAGGAGGAGGAGGAGGAGGAGGAGGAGGAGGGGGAGGGGAGGAGGAGGAGGAGGAGGAGGAGGAGGAGGAGGAGGAGGAGGAGGAGGAGGAGGAGGAAGACCCCCTTCCCCTCCTACTCGTGGTGGTGGTGGTGGAGAGCAAGCCCACCAGCAGAGCCGCGCGGCGCGCGGACCGGTGCGGCCCCCGGGCTGGACGCGCCCGGCTGGGGGCAGCGGTGCGGCTTTTTCCATGCGCGCTCCCCCAGACCTTTCGCGTCGTGAGGAAGTCAGCGAGCGAAGAACGGTATCAAATATTTGTTTTCGTTGTCGGGGGAGCCTGTCCCTGGGCGGCTGGAAAGTTTATACCCCTACGGTGCCACCGTAAGGGTATACATTTTCCAGCCGCCCTGGGACAGGCGCCCCCGACAGCGAAAAAGTTTATTTTATACCGTCATTCGCCCGTTAAGGAAGTGGCGACTGTAGGTTGCGGGACTGTTTCGAGGGAAACAAATCGGCTATACGCGTAAGAGTGGCCTTTCGCCGGAGGGACCCTTGGTGCGGGCCCGCCCGGGGTCCCCCGATCGCCGAGCGCGATGCGGTAGTAGCGCCTTGCGCGCTCGTGTTCGGCCCCCCGCGGCCCCCCAAAAGGCAGCGCACCAACGGTCACCCTTACCCAGGGTCACTCTTGCCCTGACCTTCCAGGATGGCTAAAAAATAGCACCAGGACGTCGACGTCTTAATTCCTGTCGAGGTTTGAGGCAATCCAGATCGATCTAAAGGTCTGGAGTGCTATTTTTAGCGCTCTGGAAGGTCACTCTTGTGTGTCGCCGAACAAAGACTGACATACGCATAACATCTCGGAGGTCCGCGCGGATTCCTCGGATCGGCGTTGGGCCCCCCCCTTGGGGCGCGCAGCGCGCCAGGGGCGGCGCCGGAGGTGCCGCCTGGGGGGCCCAGCGCCGATCCGAGAAATCCGCGCGGACCTCCGAGGTTGTTTTAATGTTTATGTCATTGCTTATTCCTCCAGATCGGCCTCTGGGAGCCCTCACCAGGCCTGGGGGCCGTCAAAGAGACTTGTCCGCGGGATGGGTTCCAAACCTCAGAGGGCCACGCCAGGCACAAAAACACACAATGTCGCGGGCCTGGGCCTGCAGAGGCCCCGACATCGTCCCCGTGCTCGCTTGTTTTGTTCGCCCCAGAGCCGTCTCCGACGGTCCTGAGCCCCAGAAGCGGGCCCCGTGAGGCCGAGGGTCGAGGAACACCACCACCACTGAGAGCAATGTAGGAGCAGACCGCCGAAGTCGACGGCAGGCTGCCAGGATCGAGGCCCGGGCCCCCTCCCCCCCGAGTGGGGTGCGGCGTGCCACGCAGGTGGGCGGTGCCCTCGAGGGTCGCAGGAGCCACGGCGTCGCTTCCTCGGCGGGGAGGCGCGCGGAGGGTCGGCGGAGGCCGGCGGCGGGAAGGCGAGGTCGCCTCCACCCGCGGAGGCCGGCGGGGACCAGCAGCAGTGGGTGGCAGCAGGTCTGGCTTCAGTCAGGAGGGGACAAAAACACACAGACACAATTAATCCTCGATTCCCCAGAAAATATGGGAAAATATGGGAAGCGAGGGGGAAGACAGAAACCCAGAAAATATATGAAAATATTGGGAATAGTTTTATTTGTGTGTATTTATTTGTGTGTTCTGGGGCCCCTTTATTCAGGGCCTCCAGGGTCGGCCAGACGTCGGGCGGCGATGTCTGCACGCCTCCTCTGCCTCCTGGCCGCTTCCTGGGCCCGGGAGCCGTGCGCACGCCCTCCCGGCACTGCAGGAGAGGGCGTGTCGTGTGCACCGCTGCAGGGTTCGGGATGGGCCTGGCCAGGGAGCATCTCCCCCCTTCGAACGCCTCACCCTCCTCCGAAAACCTCCCCATCCTCCGACCCCCCCCCCCTCCTCCGAGCCCTCTAGTATGTACCCATCGGTCGTTGCAAGTGGGTGCTTCTGGGTCCCTTTGTCCCAGTCTACTTCTAGGCGCCTGCCTGCTTCCATCCGCGAACGTCGTTCCCTTTTCATTCATCTTCGGGGGGGCGGGCAGGATCCGGATCTACCTCCAATCCCTTCCTACCTCCACGCTTTTGCCCACGTCTTCCGACGGGTGGGTCCAGATTCCGTAGCCCTCAGATGAGAGTTTTCAGGGAAGGAGCAAACATGCAAGCATGCAGACACAAGTAATCGTCGCGTCCCAGGAGGATGTGGGGAAACATGGGGAGTGGGAGGGAGACGAGCACACAACAGAAACATTGACCATAGTGGGAATCCTGGTATTCGTGCGTATACTAATTTGCGTGTGCCCCTGGGCCCCTCGGAATCTGCTAAGCTCGAGTTCCAGGCATATGTGGGCAAATATGGAACGTGGGGGGAAGGATGGGAATACAAAACAACACGGAACAGGGGAATCCTGCGATTTGTATGTACTTGTGTGTGTGTGTGTGTCTGTGTGTGTCTCTGGGCCCCTCGGAATCTGCTGAGCTCGAGTCCCAGGCAAATGTGGGCAAATATGGGACGTTGGGGGAAGACGAAAATCAAAGACAAATGGGCAATAGAGGGAATCCTGCGAATTGTGTGCATTTATTTTTGTGTGTGTGTGTGTCCCTGGGCCCCTCTGGAATCTGCGGAGCTCCAGGCCCATGCCGTCGGAACTCCGGTCGGCAGGCGCTCGCGGGCGGGCCTGCGCCGCACGCCGTGGCGGCGCCGGCCCTGGCGCGACGTCGGGCGCGGCCCTCCACAGGAGGCCTACGCAAATATACCACAAGTATCGTCTGGGGACGATTTCCCGATTCTGTTTCTATGTTCTAACTTTTTGTGAACATCGTTTTGCTGTGTTTGAATATCGTTAAGTCGGGCATGTCCCTCCAGAGGAGGAACATTCAAAAGCAGTAAATGTATAGCCTGGGGGCGATTTCCCGATTCAGTTTCGATTATGTTTTCAATGTCGTTTGACTATTGCGAAGGCCTTGCGGCCGTTGCCGCCGACCCTGAGGTTTGGGAGGGGGGCGCGGAGTATGGGGAGGAAGATGAGGAGGGGGACAGGAGGAAGAGGTGGATGAGGAGGAGTAGGAGCACAGGGGGGAATGAGTAGTAGAGAGTGAGGCGAGCAGGGTTGCGCAGGGGGGGGGGCACGAAGGAAGGGCAGGGGCGAGTAGAGCGTGGCGATCATGAGAAGGAGAAGGAGTGAGATAATGGCGAGGATATGGACGATGTTGATGACGACGACGGTTGCCTATCAGGACCATTCGGGGCGTCTTGGAGCCCTCCTGGGGCGACTTCTAGGTTTCCATTATGGTTTTGAATATCATGTGGCTATTGTTGAATATCGTTAAGTCGGGCATGCCTCTAGAGGAGGAGTATTCAAATATAGGAAATGTATAGCCTGGGGGCGATTTCCTCATGATGTGTTGACTGTTTTTGAATACCGTTCGACTTTTTATTCATGTATCTTGCAACGTCCGCCTGTAGGGGGATATGGCCCTCTACAGGAGGCATACTTAATAATAGTAAAGGTACAGCCTGGGGACGATTCCCCGATTCTGCTTTGACTGTTTTTGCTAATCGTCTGAGCATTATTTCTTGGGAAGGCCTTGCGGCCGGCGCCGCCGACACCGAAGGGGGACGACGACGACGACGGCGGCGGCGGCAGCGGCGACGACGACGAAGCTGACGCTCTGGGGTCGATTTCCCGTTTTGTTCTGCGGCAAGTTTGGAATATCGCTTGGCTGTGCCAAATTTTTCTTGCTGACTCCGCCTGCAGGGGGACATGCCCGACCTGACCCCAGCGGCGGGTGTTCGAGGCCGAGCGCCGCCAGGGGCGCAGTATCGTCGGAGGCTCACTGTGCTGCACGGTTCGGCCACGTGCAGAGGGATGTAAATCGACAAAGAAAACACGCCACTGCCTCCCTGCCTTGGTCGATCCTTGCGTCCCTGCCTCCTCGGTCCATCCTTGGCCACTTTCGTTGGCCGCGCCCCGCTCGAGAAGCTTCGAAAGAGCCTTCCAAGGCCCTGGCATCCTCATCGTGCGTCCTCACTGTGCGAGTTGACTGTGGGGGTAGGGAGGAAGGCTTCTTCGCTCCTTAGAAGCACCCCTGCTTCTTAGAAGGCGCGGGCCTTATCTCTCGATGTAGCGCCGGCGCTTTCTAAGAGCAGCCTCCTCCTAAGAAGCTGTCCCCCCTCCCCCTACCCCCTTGTACGCGCCGCCAACAGTGGCGCAGAATCGTCGGAGTCTCACTCTGTTGCACTGTGGGCCTGGCGTCAGGGTGCTAACGTCCTAAGTCTAGGTCTCCCAGATGGGGTCTGAGCAAATGGGGGCGGAGGAACGCGCCACATCGTTGATGCGGCTCAATGTGGAGCCCGATGTTCTCCTCGCCGACGTCGCCAATGCTTCGCCGACGTCGGTGGTGCATTGCCGATGCATCGACGATGCATCGGCGATGCGGCGCGATCCCCCGAACCCGTCTGCTCGGACCCCATCTGGGAGGCCTTTATGCACGCGGGGCCTGGAGCTAGGGGACGACAGCAAGCACTAAGGTGCCACGGCCCCACCAGGTCCTCCTCGTGCAGATGTGAGGCGTTCCAAGGAAGGGTTTGCCTTCGAGGATCGAAGGAGTTATCATATCTTCTTCGGGGAAGGCGGAGGAAGGGCGGCGGAAGGTTGGCGCGAAAAAGCGAGGCCGCCTCCGCCAGCGGAAGCTGGCCGAAGGCCGGCGGAAGGCGGCGGAGTCAAAAGATGTGCCCCCAAGAGAAGGAAGCGCTCCTGGGGCTCAGGGTTTCCGTGCTCGGCCAGATGTGCTGCCACATTCTCGGCCTTGTCCCTGGGCCCTCCTTGGCCCTGGGGGCCGCTCGCGGCGAGCGCTCGCCGCGCGCCGGCGCGCCTGCAGAGCGCCCGGATGCGCGCCCCCGCGTGCGAGATGGGCCTGGCGCGGGCCCTGCGGCTCGCCTCGCTGTCGGCCCTCGCGGCGGTGGCGCAGGAGCGCGCGTGCGGCGCTCCAGAGGATATTCCCAGGGGGTCAAGCCCTTCTGGAGGAGAAGGAGGAAGAGGAGGAGGAAGTAGAGGAAGAAGAAAAGGAGGAGGATTAGGAGGAGGAGGAGGAGGAGGAGGAAGCGGATATTTCCAGAGGGAATTCCAAGAGGAGATCCTGGCGGCGCATTTCTGTCGCACCCGGCGTCGTCGCACCAGGCCGGGCCCCCGGGACCCTCACAGAGCGATGCCCAGGGGGGTCACGCACCGAGGTCCTGGCGTCGCACTGCGCTCGCACCCGGCGTTTTCGCACCAGGTCGGGCCCCAGGGACCCTCACGGAGCGATCCAGCTCGGGCCCGTCACGTCACGTCCCTCCTCCCCTCCCTGCAACCTTCCCCCCTCCTCTTCTCCATGCCTCCTTTCTTCCTCCTCCCTCCTCCCCTCCCTCCTCCTTCCCTCCATTCCTCCTTCTCTCCCCTCCCTGCCTCCTCCTCCTCCTCCTCCTCCTCCTCCTCCTCCTCCTCCTCCTCCCTCCCGTAGTATTGTAGTAGCGAGCTGCGCAAACGTCGCCACCAGCGGAGGCAGTAGTCAGGCGAGACTTCGCGGCTCCCTGGGAGGCCGCCACCTGCGCATTTGCCGCCACTTCCGTAGGCTCATATGAGGTCCAGCGGAGTATATTGCCCTCGCAGCATGTTCTTTTGTACGGAGGCCTGGCGCGCAGCCCTGGAGGCGCGGCTGCGGGCTCGGCCGGGATAGCCAGACTAATTTGCTGGCTAAGACGGTGCACCTCCTCCTCCTACTCCTCCTCCTCCTCCTCCTCCTCCTCCCTTCCCGTCCTCCTCCTCCTCCTCCTCCTCCTCCTCCTCCTCCTCCCGCGCGCTCTTGACTCTGGGTGCGTCCTCCGCCTCCTCCTCCTCCTCCTCCTCCTCCTCCTCCTCCTCCTCCTCCTCCTCCTCCTCTCGCCTCGGCCGCGGGGCGCCCTCTCCGCAAGGTGAAAACAACGGTGTTCCTGTGCACGGAGCGTTCACGTCAATCGTCGCCTCTCGTGGAGGAGGCGTCGGGGTAACGTTTCGGGTCTCGCCTCGTCTCGGGGGCCGACGGGCCAAGGGCCGCCTCGCCTCGTGGCGGAGCGGCGACGGGCAGGTGCCCGCCGCTTGCGGCCTCGGGGGGGGGGGCCCTTCCTGGGCTGCGGGGCCGCCGGAGAAGATTCATGGGATGAGCCGCCGGTCTCCGGGAAGGGGCCCAGACCTCTGGGGGTGGACGGTGTGGACAAATCTCGCGTGGGGGCGCTCCTGACGTATGTGTGCGCCTGCTGCTTGTTTTTCTTTCTCCCCAGATCCGTAATTACCTTGGTCCGGGGTCCGATCCTTGGTGTTCGCCCGCGCTGGCCCCTGCGGGGCCCGGCCATCCACGTCAGGAGCCCCGAGAGCCCATGCGCTGCTAGCACGTTCTTTTTCGCAACAGGGCTTCGCCCATCCAGGGGTCGAGTCCATTTCGCCCCTTCGGCGGAAGGCTGGCGAAGAGCGGGCGGCTCCGCCGACGCGGAGGCCGGCGAGATGACCTCTGTTGCGGGCAGGAGGAGGAGGAGGAGGAGGAGGAGGAGGAGGAGGAGGAGGAGGAGGAGGGGGAGGAGGAGGGGGAGAGGGGGAAGGAGGAGGGGGGGGGGAGGAGGAGGAGGAGGAGGAGGATGAAGAGGAGGAGGAGGAGGAGGAGGAGGAGGAGGAGGAGGAGGACCCCCGCGTCGGGCACGGGGGTGCGAGGCCCAGGGGTGCCAGCAGGCGTGCGTCAGGCCCCGGGGCTGGATGCACGCAGGGGGGGGGAGTCGAGCCCCACGTCAGACGCGGGGGGGGTCCGGCTCCGCGTTGGATACGCGCAAGGGGGGCCCAGATGGTCTGGTACCGGAAATTTTCGGTAGCGATTTCGACGCACCCCGAATTTCGGTAGCGACCGGATCTTCGTTTGAGGGCGCTGGAATAGCGGATTTCAGAATGCTCTGATACCGGTATTGGGCGCTACATTTCGGTATTTCGGTAGCGACCGATCTCTGCGGAGCGCTACCGGAAATTTTCGGTAGCGGACCATCAGGGGGGAGTCAGACCCCGCGTCGGACGCGGGGGTGGCAAGCCCCCCGTTGGATGTTGCCACCCTCGGGCGCCCAGGCGTGCGAGACGGTCAGGCGCCGGTCAAAGCGAGCGACAACGGCGACGACGAGGACGACGACGGCGACGTCGACGACGACGACAACGACGCCAAGGAGGCAAGACATGGGAGGCTGGCATTGACGCAGGGCTTCCCATTTATCCAGCAATGTGCACTGTCCGAGGAGCGCGGCGCAATCGCCCTAAGCCCCTCGCGCCATCAACAGAGGGTATGTTTTTACGCAGGGCCGCCTACGGACCGTGGCCTTTCCCTTTTGGGCGTGGGTCGGGATGCTTCCGTGGCATGTTCTCTCGGAGAAAAGTAAGACTCGAGTAAGGCAGAATTCGGGTTTGCCGACGGTCTAGTCTTCATAGGGCGGTCTGAGTTTTGACGGTCTAGTCCTCATGGGACGTCTGCAGCGTGAGCCCGCGTCAAATTTCAGATCGGGTCGCGTCATGTTCTTGATGCCCCCCATCGGGCCAACCCGAGTCCCCCGAACCCGAGTCTTACGTCTCCCCTAGTTTTGGGCCTCTGTTGCTTGTCCAACGCATAGCCCAGGATGATGCCACAGCTGTCGGCGCACAGCTGCTGCAGAGGGCTGCCGAGGTCTCCAGGCCCGGCCCGGATGGCACGGCGGAGCCGGGGCTGCTGCAGGGCGGGGCCTCGGTGGAGGCGCTGCGGGCCGTGGACGACCTGTGGAGCCATTCCTCCTCGTGTCTCTTTCTGCTGCTCCTCCTCCTCCTCCTCCTCCTCCTCCTCCTCCTCCTCCTCCCTTTCCTCCTCTTCCCTCCTCCTGCGTTCCTCCTCCTCCTCCTCTTCCTCCTCCTCCTCCTCCTCCTCCGTTCCTCCTCCGTTCCTCCTCCTGTCTTCCTCCTCCTCCTCCGCCTCCTCCTCCTCCTCCTCCTCCTCCTCCTCCTCGTCCTCCTCCTCGCCCCTCCTAATTCCTCCTCCTCCTCCTCTACCTTATCCTCCTCCTTGTCCTATTCCTCTTCACTCCTCCTCCGTGGCATGCGCAGCCTGTGGCGCCGTGGGCTCCGCGCGTGCGGCCAGCTTCGCTGCCCCCTGCGGCCACGCCTCGGCCAAGGGCAAGCTGGCCATCGCCAGGCTGGGCAAGAGGCTGGCGCCCGCCATCTCGGGCAAGGTCGCGGTGTCCATCGAGCCGCTGACGGGCTGATGGGCGTCTCCCAGCCGCGCTGGGCGTGCTGGCTCGGCCGATGGCCGCTGGGCACGCAGTGGCGCTGGGAGGAGGCGCGCGGAGCCCGCGGGGCCGTCGCGCGCCGCGAACGCTGAGCGTGCGGGCGCCCGCTGAGGCAGGCGCGAGGGCCCGCTGCGCGTGGGGCGCGCGCGGGCGCGGGGGAGGCGCCCCCCCCCTCCCCCCCCGATGCTCGCTCATCATCTCCTCCTCCTCCTCCTCCTCCTCACCTCCCCTCCTCCTCCTCCTCCTCCTCCTCCTCCTTCTCCTCCTCCCAGGGCTGGAGAAAACAACACTCAAAGGTAAACTTGTGGCATCAGAAAAAAAACCTTGGCCCTGCCCCTGCCCGCTTCGCTGCGCCTGCCCTCGGCGCGGCCTCTCGGCCTCCGCAGTGGTCTGCCGCTCGCGCTCCAGCGAGTGGGGCGTGGGCGGAAGACCCGCGGGGGACGATCGCAGAGCACCCTCGCGCTTTTCCCCTGGGCGTCGCCCCCGCCCAGGCCTGGCCAGGCATCGAGCTGGGGGCCCTCGGGGCAGGGCTCAAAAAAACACAATACATCGAACAACAAGAAGATTGTAGGCTCCCCCCCCGAGAGAGGCGCGAAAGAAGTTTACATGGCCCTCGCCCAGGAAACGCCTATTGGGCCTAAAGCTTAGAAGCTGAAGCATCCTTTGCCCGACCCCGCCTCCCCGCCCAAGCGAATGCATAGACTGTGGAATCCCTTGAGGCGACGGGCGAGGCGTCGCTTAACATGGAGACGGTCTTCAGAACAAGCCATCTGGGGACGGATCCTAACGAGGGTTCATTGACAGGGGTCATTCACAAAGTTTCAATTAAACAGTTTGTGCGTGCTGTTGTGCTAGTCGTCTTGCTTCTCCTGCTGCTCGCCTCCTCCTTTCTCCTCCTCTTCTCTCCTCCTCCTTGTTCCCTCCTCCTTCTCCTCCTCCTCCTCCTCCTCCTCCTCCCCATCCTCATCCTCATCCTCCTTTCTCCTCCTCTTGACTGGAGCGGCCAAGCGAGATGTTCCAGTACCCTTAAAACAACCTCAGAGATGGGGATTAAAAGAGTTGTGCGCCCCCCTTTTGGCCCCTTTTATCGCAGACATCTTGCCCAGGAATAGTCCTCCTCCTCCTCCTCCTCCTCCTCCGCCTCCTCCTCCCTCCTCCCTCCTCTTTCTCCTCCTCCCTCCTCGTTCTCCTCTTCTCCTCCTTCCTCCTCTCCAGTGAGTGACTCCAGTGGCCCCTCCTTAGGAGCGGGCTGGACTCGGTGCCGCAGGCCGCGTACCAGGACCTCCTGCAGAGCGCCGCGAACGTCTCGCCCGCGCTGGGGGGCGGCCCCGCCGCGGCCCCCGCGGGCCCAGAGGCGGGCCGGCAGCGCCAAACCCAGACATCCGACGGTCCGACGACGTTTCTCAGACCTCTTCGCGTCGTGAAAATCGTGACAGCAGGTTTTCCATTATTTTCAGCCTCTGGGGGCCCCCGCCGGGCCGTGGGACCGGGAACAAAAAGACTCAGGCTGAAAGGCCGGTCCCCAGGAAGGGGTCCGAGATCCTGGGGGTCACGTCACAAAAGGAACACGTCGTCGGGGGTCTGGGCGAACCGATACTCTTTCTTCATTCTCCCCTTGTCGGGTCTCCTGGGAGGCCCTCGTCGCCACCGCCGGATTCGCCGCGGCATCTTGGTCAGAAAACCGCCCCAGGAGATCTCTGGGGAGCAGTGGTATCGGTGCCTCTTGGTTTCCCCCATGTTGGTCAGGCTTCGGGCGGCGCGCAAACAGCCTCCTCCTCCCCCTCCTCCTCCTCCTCCTCCTCCTCCTCCTCCTCCTCCTCCCTCCTCCTCCTCCTCCTCCTCCTCATCCTCCTCCTCCTCCTCCTCCTCCTCCTCCTGCTCCTCCTCCTCCTCCTCCTCCCCTCCCTCCTCCTCCCCCTCCCTCCTCTCCTCCTCCTCCTCCTCCTCCTCCCTCCTCCTCCTCCTCCTCCTCCCTCTCCTCCTCCTCCTCCTCCTCTCCTCTCTCTCCTCCCTCCTCTCTCCTCCTCCGCCTCCTCCTCCTCCTCCTCCTCCTCCTCTCCTCCTCCTCCTCTCCCTCCTCCCTCCTCCTCCTCCTCCTCCTCCTCCTCCTCCTCTCCTCCTTCCTCCTCCTCTCCTCCTCCTCCTCTCCTCCCTCCTCCTTCTGCTCCTCCTCCTCCTCCTCCTCCTCCTCCTCCTCCTCCAGTGCTAATTGGGGCCAGCTGGGACTACTCGGAAGGCCTTCAAGGCAAGCCGAGAATTACCTGGAGGGTGGGTGGCGTGCGCAACACGCAGCCTCAGCACATCCGACGCACGCTATGAGGTCCGTCAGAGGAGGAGAGGCTGACGATGTCGCTGCTAGTCCTGGAGATCCCTGCCGCCACGGCTGCCACGGCTGGATTCGCCTCTAGATGTTGGGTCAGAGCGCACCCTGGGAGAGGTCGGCGGAGTCGCGGTATCAGTAGCTCTTCATTCCCCGGGTTTGAGAGCCCACTAGCGTTTCTTTCGTTTCGGCCTCTTGCTGTCGCCTTTGGTCCCGGGGCCATCAAGCATGTATTTGGGACGAGACGCTGGCCCAGGGCCGAGCATTCAAAAAAACACATCGTCGGATGTCTGGGGATGTTTGGTTTTAAGTTTGTTTCCATCCGCGGCACCAGAGGATTCGAAGTGCTCCCTGGGGACTGGCTTTCGCCCCTGATTCATTTTGGATGGTCCCGCCGGGTCCGATAAGAAGCCCCAGAGGCCAACATCTAGGAAAAGCCGCCAGACGCACAGCCACATAGCTGCGTATTCAAGGGTCTGGGAAAGAGGGCGGGCCAGGTCAACAAAGACGATGTCGACGTCGCTGGCACCGCCGCCGTTGAAGGTGTGTGTGTGTGTTTTTGTGTGTGTGTTTTTTGTTGTGTGTGTGTGTGCGGGGGGGGGGGCGGGGAGTCGCTTCTGGCAGGAAGCTCGCACTGGCCCGGGCTGGCGCGCAGGATCCCGTCGGATGTTGCAGGATCCTGCAGCGCCTGACCGGCCGGGTGTGCATCGACTGGGTCAGTAGAAGCCTGGCCTGTGGGCCTGATTCGATTCCTCCCACTCGGTTCGATTCGGTTTCGATGGATTCCGATTCCGACTCGTTTTGATTTCGGATCCCGATTTGGGCGTCGGTTTCTCAATGGAGGCCTAACCAGCCTGCCGATTTCCGCCGATCCGATGTCTCCCGACTTGGCTGCCCATCCCCGCCGACTCGATGATTCTCGATCGCCGATCCGACTTGTCGACTCGATTCTGGGCTCTCTTCGTCGCGTTTCGCGCGACGGGACGGGGAGTGGCGAGGGGGCCTGATACCAGCGCAGAGTCCGACCGCGGACGACAGGGGTTTGTGTTTGCGTGTCGGTCCGCCCTCCGGACAGCGCCACTGACGACGACGCGGCCGGCAGCGGCGGCGGGGCGCGGCCCACCTCGCTGCAGATCGCCGGCATGTTCGACAGCGGCACCAACCTGCTCTGGGCACTGATTCGGGCCAACCTCGGCGAGCGCGCCATGGGTAGGGTCTGCCCCGACGAAAAGAGCGGCCAGTGCTTCTTCTGGAAGCACAGCCCACCGCGGCAGCTGCAGCGGGAGCTCGACGCCCTGGAGAGGAAGGGCCAGAGAGTCGTCCTGGTGGCCATGGTGCGGAGCCCGCTGTCCCAGGTGGTGAGCTGGACGAAGGCGCCGTACGACCTCGGCAGCTGCATTCAGAGGGCCACGGCGACGGCGGGGAGCGACAGCAGGACGCGCTGCTACGTCCGCGGGGAGCCCTTCACCGGAGTGACGGGGGTGTGGAACAGCTACGTTCAGGAGTACGACCGGCGGCAGGGCGCCAACGGAGACGCGTACCACAGGACGGCGGCCGCCAAGGAGGAGGACGAGGAGAGTTCATTGGAGGGCGAAGATGGTAAGGATAATGGGGAGGATGGGAGGACGCCCCTGCGAGAAGGGGGAGAGGAGAAGGAGGAGGGGGGTCGAGGATGAGGTATGGGAGGAGTATCAAGAGAGGAGGACGAGGAGAGCGGAAAGACGGAGGGACCGTGCAGGATGGGAAAGACGGCGGCTAAACCAGCAGGATGAGAAAAACGGAGGGGAAAGACGGAAAGGGGGGAAAGACAGAGGGGAGACCAGCCGGAGTGAAAGTAGGGGGGGAGGAGGAAGAACAGGAAGAGGACCAGGATGATGACGAGCGAGGAGAAGTGAGCGCATGATGAGTCCCATGAGGAGGAGGGGAGGGGGAGACCAAGGTAACATTGAGATGCACTAACTATGCTGCAGCACACCCGCCCGTGCCAGGTACCCCCAGCCCATGCTTGGCATCGCTCGGGCTTCTCGGCAAGGAGCACTGCGAGCCATCTCGCGAAAGACAGGCGCGCACGAAGCCGACACGTCTTGAGTCAGGCCTGCCCCTCTACAGGAGGAATGTTCAAAAATAGTCAAACAATAGCCTGGGGACGTATTTTTTTTTAGTTTTTTTTTGACCACTTTGGATTGTCTTGAATATTTTTTAATTTTTCGTCCAAAAGCCCCCTGCAGGGGGACAGGCCCGACTCAAGACAAGCCGCACGGGTCATGGACGCCGCAGCGACGGCGGGCAGAAGTTCACCACCCACCAAACCACCCCAACCCAACCCGAAGGCTACAGTTTGCCCTCCATTTCCAGTGTGGGGGGGGGGGTCTGGGAACACTGTCAAAACACACGGGACCCGCCATCCCCCCCCCCCAACCCGAAATTCGATTCACGTTCGGGTCTTCGGGTTGGGTTGGGGTGGTCTGGTAGGTAGGCAGAAAAGTCTCCGCAGATGGGCGTTCTCCCTTTTCGCGGAGCGCGCCCCCTCGAGATGCCGAGGGGGCCCCCACGGGCCTGCCATTGCAAGCGGCCCGCCCTGGCTCCGAAGGGCCTGGCCAATGATTACAAGCAAGATGCCACCATATAGGTTTACGTCGGGCCTCTCCTCCTCCAGGAAGAAGATTCAAAAACAATAAAAAAATAGTCTGGGGACGATTGGTTGACTATTTGTACGATTTTTTGATTATGTTTGAGTAAGTTAGGGCATTCTTTGACCATTCTTTATTTTTCGTCCAAAATCCCCCTGTCGGGGGACAGGCCCGACCTAAATATAGGTCCGCTTTGAAGACGAAGTGCCGGCCATCCACGTCACTGTCGCACATGCCCAAAGTGCCACGCGGGAGACTCGCACGGAAGAGGGGCCACCTTGCGTCCGGCGGAATGTTGTGTCTCTCTGAGTTGCGGCCTGTATGGAGTTCTCCAGAGGACATCGCCTTCGAGAGTCGAAGGAGTTGGCATCTCTTACTCGGCGGAAGGTCGGCGGAAGGCGGTGGAATTCAAACGAGGCTGAAGTACGAGATGCGTCCCCAAGAGATAGAAACGTTCCTGGGTTCAGGGTTTCTGGGATCCCTCGAAGCTCCGAAGTATCAAGCAGAATCCGCCGTCCACCCATATGATTGCTCCACTGGCTCCTCACCAAGCGGCCCCAACCCAACCCGCAGGCCCAAAGTTGCTTTTCGTTCCCAGTGGAGGGGCGCCCCAGAGCATGGAGAAACACCACAATGGAACCCGTACGCCCCCCAGCCAGAAATTTGTGACTTCGGGTTGGGTTAAGGTGGTCTGGTAGATAGTCGTTCACATGTGTGAGTGCCTGGTGTATCCGAGGCTATGCCTCCTCTCGGCCTCGCTCTGGGGCTCCGCCGCTTCCTCCCTCCTCTTCTCTGCCTAATTCAAGCTCCGCGCGGCCCGCTTAGCTTCGACCGGAAGAGGTGCGCTTTCGACCCGCGGATCAAAATGTGTGAGTGCCTGGTTGCCATATTTGAGAGCACCGCAGGCGACAGCTTGGAAAGAGGAACCGTTGCAAACTTGAGCAACTGGTGGGAGCTATGCGCTCGAGCTTGCAGGGCGCTGCGCGAGCCACATCCTGATAGACATTCGCCCTCCTCGCGTGCAAGCGTCACAATATCAAGATTTCAATCGCGATGCTAAGAATATGTGGGGGCGCTGAGGGTGTAGACACGTGTTGAAAACTACCCGCCCTCTGCTCGTATAACTGTAAGGGTGTTCAAGTTTCAGGTTCATATGCCATTGGGATAGGTCAGATTCAAGCGCCCAGCCCACCACAAGGGTTGGAGGAAAAGGAGAATGGGAACGAGGAGTTGCGAGAGGAAGAGTGAGAGAAGGGGGGCGGAGAGAAATGATGGGGAGCAGGCGGAAAAGGAAGAAGAGTGGGAGAATGAGGAGGATGGGGGATCTAAGCTGGACTGCTCGTTATTGGGAGCGGCCACATGTCCGCACCTTGCGACGGGAAGCCCAGCGAACACAGCTAGAACTCTGAGGCGGCTCTCCCAAGAGGCCTTGCCTGAGCCCACGAAGGCTTCCACCGCCTCGACCAAGCGGCTGAGTGTTGTCTAACTTGCCTGTGTCTTCGCACACCAATCGTTGTCCTTCTTTCTCCCTCAGGGCCCTGAGAGCGAGGAAGACCATAAGATCCGAACCTGCAAACAGATGGCAGCCTCGAAGAAAACACGACCTGAGCCCCCGACCCCGTCTTTCTGCCTGAAACGCCCGCCTCCTTCGGGGGAGGCGATCCCCCCACATCGGGTGTTGCTAGCAGTGCCCCTTGCCCAAGATGCCCCCCCTTCTTTCGCTCCGTCTCGGAGCCCCTGGGGCCCCTCTTGGGCCTCGCGAGGGGTGCCCTGGAGGCCGCCTGGGCCACCCCGAGAATCCTGGGGGGTATACCTTGGTCCAGGGGCACTTCTAGCATTCAGTCGGGCGTGTCCCATCTACGGGGGTGATCTTCAAAAATAGTCAACAAAAATACTTTGGGGACGATGTTTTGACCATTTTTTGATGATTTTGGGGGGCATGTTTTGAGTGTTCTTGATCTTTCGCCCAAAATCCCCCTTGGGGGGCGGGGACACGCCCGACTTCATCCCAGCAGCACCCGGCCACAGAGGACGCTCGTGGTCGAGTACGAGCGCCTGGTGCTGGAGCCCGAGGCCGTGGTGCGGGAGATCGCCGCCGCGCTGGGCCTCCCCGCCCGCTCCGCCTTCCGGACGATCGAGGCCCCGGCCAAGAACCACGGCAGGCCACACGGCCCCCCAGCAGAGGAGGAGAGGAACGTCGTCGTCGTCGGCGGCGTCGTCGGCGTCGGCGTCGTCGGCGTCGGCGTCGGCGTCGGCGTCGGCGTCGTCGTCGGCGTGGTCGGCGTCGTCGAGCCTCGTCGCCGCCGCCGTGGCCGCCGCCCTCCCCCGGGGCGCCCCCGCCCCCGGGGCGCAGGCGCCGCCGCCGCCGGCCGCGGCCCGGGCGCGCGAGAGGGCCAGAGGAGGAGGGCTGGTGTCCGCATGGTAAGGATGAGCGGCTTTCCAAGGTTACCCTTGCATCCTTCCCCTCTGGCCCATGCTGGGCCGCTTTCGCTGGCCGCGCCCAGCGCGCGAAGTGTCGACATGGCTTTCCAAGGCCCCTGCATCCCTAACGCGCGTCCGTATCATGCGGGTTGACTGAACGCACCGGGGTTGGACGGCTGCGAGGCCGAAGTCCTCAGACTGGAACTTATGGTGGCTACTTTCTCGTTGGTATGTGTGCGCGGAGAGTGTCCTCCGCCTCCTCCTGTCCTTCGCGGCCGCCCTGTCTGTCTTGTCTCCCTCTCCTGCATGCTGGCCAATACGCGTTTCGGCCGCCCCGTTCAATCATCGTTGGTGCAGCTTTTTGCGTCGCACCCAACGAAAAAAGTGTGCGCGGATGTCTCATCCATGCAATGTCTTACTTCACAGTCTGAGTTGCACCGATTGCGGGCTCTCGTGGCCGAGAAACGAGCTTCGGCCACACAGGCCTCAAGCAGTGCCCAAGTAAAGTGGCATAAAATGGAGGAAGAGGGCAGGAAGGGGACGAAGGGAAGAAGGATGATGCGTGCACCCGCCAAGGAGACTGGGATTGGAGATTTCTGGCGGTATTACAGACGCGCAGGGTTTTCAACCGGGGGCGATGGTGCCATTGGAACTGTCACGGCACCTCCCTTGACGTCTGGACACTGCTTTGAGTGCGAGCGCGGTTTTGGGTAGGACATTCGCCGATTCATGTCTATGTGTGTCGCAGGGAGGGAAAGGGGAGCGGGGATGAGGCATGCTGCATCATGCTGCCATCAGTGCGACCTGGGATCCGTAGTATTGGCGTCGAAGGGGGAAGTGGGGGAGGAATCATATGATGCTCTTTGGATGCCCTTGGCCTCTTCTGGACCCGTCGAGGTGTGGCCGCGTCGCCGCCCACTGCCGCCTCGTTGCCGCCTCGATGCCGCCCGAGCGGGGGTTCCGTCGAGGTTTCGCCGCGGTGCGGCCCGCTGCCGCCTCGCTGCCGAAGTTGCTGTGCCGCCCACCTGGGAGGTCCGTCCTGCTTTCGCCGCGTCGCCGCCCGCTGCCGCCTCACTGCCGCCCACTTGGCTGTGCCTGTCGCGGTTTCGTTGCGTCTCCGCCCGGTGCCGCCCCGTTGCCGCCCCGTTGCCGCCCGCGCGGGGGTTCCGTGGAGGCTTCGGCGCGCGGCCGCCCACTGCCGCCTCCTTGCCGCCCGCTGGGGGGGTCTGGCGATGTTTCGCCGCGTCGCCGCCCGTTGCCGCCTCGTTGCTGGCCGCTTGGGGGGGTCCGTCATGGATTCGCCGCGTCCCCGACCGTTGCCGCCCCGCTCCCGCCCACCGCGCTTGGGGGGTCCGTCGAGGTTGCACCACACGGCCTGCACCACACAGCTCGCACCGTTTAGTTTGCGCCACATCGCATGCACCACAGAGGTCGCATTACATAGCTTACACATCCACAGGGCAACAACTTGCGTTTGGGCCCCATGCAGGCTGCTCTCTGCGTAGGACTGCGTAGGAAAGCCGGAGCGCGGTAGAACAAGAGCCGCGGGGCGATGGGGTCGAGAGCTCCAGGGCACAGCTACTGGAGGTGACTGCGACGGCGGAGGTCGGGCGGCGAGGAGGAAAGGCGAGGGAGGTCGAGAAGAAGGGCGAGGTCAGGGAAAAGAGGAGGAGCACGGAGAGGAGCAGCAGCAGGAGGAGGCTGCGTTGCCTCGGCAGCAACAGTTGGAGCAGCAGCAGCAGCAGGAACAGGCCGGAGCTGCAGCAGCAGGTTTCAGTGAAGCCCCGGATCCTGACCCCCCCAAGGTCCCAGAGGATCAACGCGGGCAGACTCTGCGTGCATCCCTGTTTCGAAAGTGCAATGATATGACCATTCGAGCATCTGCCCTCGTCCCTCGAGGATCGAGGACGACACTCAGCGGGGGGGAAAGGAGAGGCAGGAGCAGCAGCAGCAGCAGCAAGAGGAGAGGCCCAGACTCCCCAGTGGAAACCCATGCCACGAAGCACCCTACTTGCCCCCAGGGTGCCCTGGGTTTCTCCGGTTTCGATGGTTTTGCGATGACAAGCGTGACGCTCCCACGCCGAAAATCAATGGACGTCCTGCGGTCTCAGGGTTGGGTTCCCTGTGGAAGGATTCTTGTGGTCGAGCTCCGTCTGTGCTCGAAGATCCGCCGGTCCCAGAGGTTGCAGTGTTTTCGCGCCCTGAGGGTCCCAGACCCTCACCTTCCAGAGTGATAAAAAATATCAGTCCAGACCTGTAGATCTATCTGGACAGCCTCAGACCTCGACAGGCCTTAGGACGTCGGCGTCCTGGTGCTCTTCTGTTTTAGCCCCCCCGGAAGGTCAGGGGAGATGCCCCGGAGGCCGAGACCTTGGTGGGCCCCGGAGACGGCAGGGCCCTTTTCTCACCGCTTCCGGAAAAGTGTCTCCTGAAATTGGAAGTGCCAAAAAGATCGGCGACCAGAAAAACGACAAGAGAGGTCGGTTACAGGATTGGAACCGGAGCCGGAACCGGCAACAGGAAACGGCGACGGAACCGGCAACAGAAAGGCGTCGGACCCGGCAAAGACCACGGCCAAACGGAACAGGTAACAAAAAACGGCCTTGTCGTTTTCAGGGCCCACTGCGGCCGAGCTTCAGGAAGATCGACTAGGCGTAAGAGTGACCTTTCGCCGGAGTGACCTTTGGTGCGGGCACAGATGGGCCCCCAGATGGCCGAAAGAGAAGCGGTAGCAGCTGCTTGCGCGCCTGTTTTTGACCCCCCTCCCGCGGTCCAAAAATGCCGCGCATCAAAGGCCACTCTTGCCCAGGGTCACTCTTGCGTGTAGCCGAGGAGACAAGACGCCAGGATTGAAGAGCAGGCAGGTCGCCTGAGGTCCAGGAGGATGGCAGGAGGCCGCGCCAGGCCGCACGGCAGGGAGAAGGCGCTGCAGGACCTGCAGGAGGCGGCGTGGCTGCGCAGGCAGCCCGCCTCCCGGAGGGAGGTCCGGTCTTCGCTGTGCAGCCGCCTGAACAGCTCGGCCATGAAGGTCAGGAGGGGAAAAACATACAGACACGATTCATCGTCGACCCCCATGAAAACATACGAAAATATGGGAAGTGGGGGGGAAGACGAAAACCGAGAAAATGTGGGAAAATATCAGAAATCCTGTTATTTGTGTCTATTTATTTGTGTGTCCCAGGGCCCTCTCAGAAGGCTCGGAGTGGGTTTGGATTTTAGGTCGGGGATACCGCTCTACAGGAGGAATGTCCAAACATAGTCAAAACATAGTCTGGGGACGCTTTGTTTCATTAGTTTCCTGACCATTTGTCGATCTAGCTTCTGACGATGTTTGGTTATTCTTCCAGCACCCGTCTGTAGGAGGACATGCCAGACCTAAGGTTAGGACGATTCATAAGTCCGTTCCGCAGCGTTCGGGATCGCTCTCAGAGCGTTCGCTCCGAGAAGGCCGCGGCGCCCGATGCGTCCTCCGTAGCCGCTGGATCTCAGAGATCCTCGATGCGTCCTCGCCCGATGTTATGCTCGTCCTGTATCCCTTCTCGAGATCGAGCGCGAATTTTCCCCCAGGACATGGCGACGCCCCGGGGCCCCAAGATGTAAACGTTGCCGCCGAGGCCGGCGGCCGCAAGTTGTGTTTGTGGACCCCGCCGGCTCCGCTGCGCGCGCCCATCAACACTGCAAGTTGGGGGCGAGGGCAACTCAGGAGGGGAAAAAACACACAGACACAATTAATCCGCGATTCCTAGAAAATATGCGAAAATATGGGAAGTGGGGGGGAAGACAGAAACCCAGAAACTATGGGGAATCTTTTAATCTGTGTGTATTTATTTGCGTGTCCCAGTTCCCCTTCAGTAACATAACAACTTGCGTCTGATTTCGAGCTTTGTTTTTCGGTCGGAGGCCTGGGCATGGGCACCGACACCAGCACAGGGTGTTGCCTCCGCAGGGGCAGGATGCTCCTGGACCTCTGGCGCGGGTGGTAACCGTTCGGCCACCCTGGAGAAGCCCGACTATTATTACCACCATCGCCGAGATCGGGGTCTTCTTCCCGCGGTGGAGGCACGCTGCCGACCCGCCCGCGACCCACCCCGCCACCCACCCGCGACCCGCCCGCGACCCACCGCGCGACCCGCCCGCGACCCACCCCGCGACCCGCCCGCGACCCGCCCGCGACGCACCCCGCGACCCACCCCGCGACCTAGCCCACGACCCACCCCGCGACCAACCCAAATTGCTTTGACGAGAAAATCGCGATTGCTGCTGGCGTCAACCTCTGGGCCTGCGATGTTCGACTCCGCCCCAGAGGCGCACGCCTACCCGACGGTGCCGCGGCCGGGCTCGTACCTGGACGACTGCGCGTGACCGCGGCGGCGCGCGGGGCGGCCCGGCGGCCGGCTCGTGCCGCACCGGGGCGGCGGTGACCCTGGCGCGGGCGTCCTTAGTGGGCCCTGGAAACGACAGGGCCGTTTCTTTACCTGTTCCGTTGTGCCGTTTTTGTTGCCGGTTCCGACGCCGTTTCTGTTACCGGTTCCGTGGCCGTTTTTTGACCGGTTCCGGCTCCGGCTCCAATCTTGGACCCGTTTTTTGCCGTTTCCGGTCGCCGTTGTTTTCCCGTTTCCTTTTTCAAGGGACACTTTTTGGGGAAACGGTGAAAAAACGGCCCTGCCGTTTCCCCGTCGGCCGTTGAAAATTGCTCGCCAACGTCCGAACAACACTTGGCTGCTCTGACGTGATCTACCGCAGATCCCCCGCGGGGGATCCGGGCCACTGGCGAGCAGCTGCTCTGCGGGTCGTGGAGCGCGCTCGTCTCAAGGTAGGAATTACCTCGAGGAGAAAGCGCCATAAACATACATGCTTCTGGCGCGCCGCGCGGGTTTCTCGCATCCGCGCCGGGCCCCCGTCGGCGGCGCGGGCGCCCCCCAGCGCGCTCCGCGCGCCAGGGAGGGGGGCCCAGCGCAGATCCCCAAATCCGTGCGGAGTGCCAACAGGTTATGTCGAGGGCGTTTCTTTCTTGTTCTATGCCAGGAATCCGAGATCCCGGCCTACTTCAGGCGCCCTCCCTTTGTTTCCTTCGTCCTCGGGGGGCCAGCGGAGACCCAATCTGCTTCCAATGCCTTCCTACCTCCTGGCTGTACCCAATTCTTCCGACCGGCGTGCAAGGTTAAGCGCCACCAGCGGCCCAGATATTATTGGCCCCTGGAAACTACATGACCGTTTCCTTGTTCCTTTTGTCAAAAGCTTCCCCTTTACCATGAAATCGGCGAAACACAGAACGAGCGTACGGACCCGTTTGCGTCCACATTTCGGGACCTCTCATGCAGACTGGTCGCGAGGGGGATGGGGGCGGTACACGAGTCTTGTTTGAAGTTCACGTAATCGCCGTGGCATGGCAAGCATGGCGTTCGACTCACCCCGAGGGGAGCCGCCATGGATTCTTGCGCGGACCCGTTCGCGCCCATATCCTTTGGAGGGTTCCAACCGGATTGAATTGCCTTTGTTGGGGGCTTGGGACGGCAATTCTGTCGCTCGTTTCCTTAAGTAACGCGCCTGCTCCAAGGCCACATGATCTCCACGATGTAGCAGGTATCACATTTCGGCCGCCGAGAAAATGAATTGCCCATTTTCGAAGAGCGCAACGATCGACGTATATTGAAACCAGATGTCCAGATGTCAGCGAAACTGGCCTGGTTGCCTGCTCCGTTTTGGCGAGGTTCAATCTCTTTTCGCTGACCGCCGATTTTCTCGACGCGGTTTTAGCTCGAGTCTTCGCAAGCACCAGTCCGTTGCACCAAACTCAAGACAAGTATATCATCCTCACCTTTTTGCTTTCATTACTTTTCAACATGTTATCCTTGTTTGTCTTCCCTCTGTATGTATTCCCCTCCCCCTGCTCCTGTTCGCGCCGTTGCTCTCTTTCCTTCCCTCGCGGTCACCCCGCTCCGGCCACTGATCATACTCAGAGTGATGGTCGCCCTCTCTCCATGCATCCCCCTGACCACGGCCCTCTGTTGTCTTCCATTCTGCTTCTCTGGAGGCTTCTCTGGGGGTCTCCAGAGACTGTCTGTCTGCAGAACTCCCAAAGCCCAGGAGTCGCCTAGCTCAGAAGTGGCTGTCAGCCCTCGCGGGCGCCTGCCTAGCAGACGGCTTGGCCGCCAACGCGGCGACCAACTTGGAAGAGGCCTTCAGTCGCGGACGCGGGAAATGCCTTGTTCAAGGGATGGGCCTGTTTTCCACCACCACCACCACCATCAGTGGCAGGGGGAGGAGGAGGTGGAGGAGGAGGAGGAGGAGGAGGAGGAGGAGGAGGAGGACGAGGACGAGGACGAGGACGAGGACGAGGACGAGGACGACGAGGCGGAGGAGGAGGAGGAGGAGGAGGAGGAGGAGGAGGAGGAGGAGGAGGACCCCATCCCCCTCCAACTTATGGTGGTGGTGGTGGTGGAACACGGGCCCATCATCAAGCAGGTCATGCGGCAGCTCTCGGCCGTGCGCCTGGCCGAAAAGCCCTCGGGGCGGTTCCCCGAAAGAGCGCGCTGCGCTGCAGGTTCGCGCAGTCGAGTTGGAGCCCCTACTGGAAAGCCGCCAGACGGCCCAGGGAGCTGCGCAGGCCCACCGTCGCACAGAGGGACGCGCGTCGCGGCGTGATGCACCCAAGGGTGGCCACGGACAAGTGACGGACAACGGCGCTCTGGTTGCGGCCATGTTCTTCTCCCTTGGGCAGCCCCAGCGGCCCCCGCGAGAGCGTCCACACGGACGAAGAGACCCCCCAGGACGGCTCAGGAGGCCTCCAAGATTGCCCAGGAAGGCACCTGCAACGCCATAACAGAGAGGCCCATGGCCCGCAAGATGGCCCAAGAGGACTCCCAGTCACCGAAAGGTCGGTCTAAGACGCCCAGGATGGCTTCAAAGTGTGGCACGACGTCCCCAGGACCGCCCAAGAGACTTCCAGGAGGGCCTCCGAGAGATCCCCGAGAGGCAAATGGCACACATGTCCCAAAAGTTGTTCAATCTTTTTCGCATTTCTACCTACAAGCACAAGAGTCCCGACGAACCCACAAGCACAAGAGTCCCCAAAGCGCGCCCCAGGAACAGCCCAAACCACCCCCGCGAGAGCGTCCACACGCACGAAGAGACCCCCCAAGACGGCTCAGGAGGCCCTCAAGATTGCCCCAAGAGGGCGCCAGGAACGCCGTAACAGAGGCCCCATGGCCCGCAAGATGGTCCAACCGGGCGCAAAGTCGCCGAGAGATCTGTCCAAGACGCCCAATATGGCGTGAAAACGGGCCACGAAGCCCCCTATGGACCGCCCAAGAGGCTTCCAGGAGGTCCTCCAAGAAGGCCCGTGGAGGCATCATTGGTACTTTTTTTGAAGGTTGCCCCTGTTTTTCGCATTTCCGCTTCTCCGGCTTCCCGATGCTCCCCGATGGCCCAAGTGGCCGGACAGCGCCTCTTGCAATGTCAACTCAAAGCCCACCCTACACGACCCCCGACGATTCCTCAGAGTTCACAGAAGCCAGCAGAGCCCCAAAAGTCCATTCTCTCGCCCGTCAGCGTCTTCGCCCTGGCGTTGTGGTCCCATCCCCTCCTTTGGCCGGTGGCTCGCACGGAAGCGTGCTGAGCTCACCTCGTGGTTCGCATGTTCGCGTGCCGGGCTCACCCCCAAGACGCACCGTCGTTTTCCCGGCCGCCATGTCAAGACTCCCAAGAAGGCCTCAGAATGGCCTACGAAGCCTCCAGGACCGCCCAAGAGGCCTCCAGGAGGGCCCCCAAGAGGGCCCAGGGAAGAACAAATAATATATTTCTGGAAGGTTTCCGATGCTTTTCGAATTTCCGCCTCTTCTGCTTCCCGATGCTCCCCGATGGCCCAAGAGGCCGGACAGCGCTTCGTTTCATGTCAACTCAGGGCCCACCCGACACGACCCCCGACGATTCCTCAGAGTTCACAGGAGCCAGTAGAGCCTCAAAAGTCCATTCTCTCGCCCGTCAGCTTCTTCGCCCCGGCGTTGTGGTTGCGGACGGTCGGCGGTACTTCGCGGAACTACAAAATGCGCCCCCAACAGATGGCAACGTCTTTTTTTGTACTAGGGTTTCCAGAACCCGCCACATATTATGAGCACCGGCGCACCGAACAATGCGCCTGGTGGCTAAAGAGTTCCTGACGCTTCCGTGGATGTATTTGGGGACGTGGCTCAATCGCTTGCTCGACGCCCTGTCTCCCGACAGGTGGCGTCCCGACCATAAATTCCAAAAAGACGTCAAAAACCAGTAGGTATACAATACGATCCAGTCGTCCAATAACACAGGCAAGTAGTTCCAATAATTAATACAAACCAGTTGGCAAGGCGGCGTTGGCTCAGAGGGGGTATTACGGACCTGTGGAACTAAAAGTTGGCATATTTCAGATGATCTTTGACCTGCACAGTTTCGCTTATCCCAGGGACCGCTGAAATCACCGGTAGCATCACCGGAAGTCATATTACTTCCAAGAATTCGAATCATCAAACATATTGTCCCCGACCAGTAATAATTCGAGCGTTCATACTTGCGGGGGCAGATTATTCGCTTATTGGAGTTCGCGTGCTGGAACTACTGGCATTGATTTTAACAACAATAAGTACAATGAGATTATTGGAATGAATAGTCGGCCTCCGCCAGTTGGGAGATGGGGAGCTCTCAGGACATGATCACTTCAGTTGCCGTGGAACGTAACTTTCTCTATAACTGTTTTTGCAGACGGGCTGTCAATGAAATGCTGCGGAATATTAAAAGCACATACCATACCGAAATTCGATCTCTGTACCATGGGACGCATTCTGTGCCAGGTTCTCCCACTGTCGGTTCCGCTCCATGAGTGGACGCTTCGATCTGAGCGATCTGTTCTTGTCGGCGGCGCTTGAAAGGCGCCGGCATTCAATCATTTCATGGTCCACAACCCAGACACGGCGGCGGTTTCACCCGTCCCTCTCCTCTGCACTTGGCCCCAGGCCATCCCCAGGCGAGCCTCGCGGGGGCGCCCAGAGAAACTCGAGATGGCAGAGTCCAATTGAGCACACTGATGTCCAGCGCTCCCGCAAGCCTCAAGAGAGGCCCGCTGCGACGCCAGGATCACAGAAGGCGCCCTGGGGAGGGACGCGAGGACACGGAGGTGTCCTCCCGGCACTTCTTGGAGGACCCGAGGAAGGCCGAATGGGGGCACGGGACGCGCGCCCTGTCCCAAGAGGCTCCAAATATTACCCCGACATGGCCCTACGCGTCCTCCGCATCTCTGTCGTCGTCGCGTCGTCGTCGTCGTCGTCGTCGTCGTCGTCGTCGTCGTCGTCGTCGTCGTCGTCGTCGTCCCCGCCGTTGTCGCCGTTGCCACTGGGGGGGGGGGCGGCGGCCCGAGGCTCGAAAGGCTGTAGGGCGCTGGAGGTCGGAGCCG